TATTTAAATATATATATTTTATCTGCTCTGCTGTAAATTTCAAATTAAAATTCCTAAAGACTCATGAAAAATAAGGGTATTTAATGTGAGATTGATTCAAAGCCCTGCTTAAACAGACTTGATGTAACAAAATTTAATGACGGCAGAGAGTAGATGTGATCAGAGAATGCCAAGTTGGCAAATAGTTGAATTATTTACGGGTCATTTGCTTAGGTTGCTATAATTATAACACAAAACAGGAACAAAATTGAGGAGGTGTTGGTTAAAGTACGCTTGAGAAGACTTTCTATGGATTTGTATAAAGTATTGAAATTTACTTGGAAAAATCTAAGAATATTAAATGTAAATAAATAACTTTGTTAAATAGAATTTAAAGCTGCTCAGTTAAAAAGCTAGGGAGCTACACATCGGCAGAGTTCCGTATAAAGTACTTTCCTTTAATGTAAATAAAATTATGCTACCCAGCCACAAAAGTCAGCTGCCTTTGGCTTAAGAACTTGATATATATGAATGTAAATGTATATTAAATATATTTGTTGGCCCGCTGCCCAGTCCTCTCACCTGGCCAACTGTTGATAATGCATTGTATTTGCTTTTGGGTGAGCGGGCGAGGCGGGCGGAGGAGGCAACAGCTGCGGCTGTCTGAACGGAAGCAGGCGCGAATGAGTTAACAAAATAAAAGGATTCTGATGAAAATTTCGCATGTTGCCTCAAAAACTTCAGCAGCTGGCGCCGAGTGGGCGTGAAGAGCCCACTCGAATGTTGTTAATGCGAAGGTTAAGGTTCAAGTCTTTCAAATACAGCTTAGCGAAAACAACGGCTGTGCGGCAGCTGTTGCCTGTTTATGGCGAATGGTGAATTAATCGGCCCTCGACTAACTTTAAGGTGTTCTAAATTGAAAAGTTCATAAGGAGCCAGAGTCGCAGTCAGTTGTTGATTAAGCAATTTATATTGTGCTGCAGTCGCACACACATAATGAAGCCGCAGCTGAAGAGCGGAAATTTCGTTTGTGGCTGGCGCTGCTCATCAGCCGGCAAATTGCCATAAAGATACTTTTAATTGCTACTAAGTGCCGACAGAGCCAGCGCAGCCAGCAGCGCACTTATCTAGCCAAAGGCAAATGAAACGCTCTCGCAAGCCTTGGCAGCCGTCTCCTGCAAGTCCCCAAAGGAAAGGCGGCAAAGGACATTGCGCTCGCTGCTGAGTTATAGTTGCGGGAATTGTTGTTCTGGAAAAGTAAATGTACGTTGCTTGATTTCAAACTTAATGGGCTGCGCACTGACTTTGACTTCCCCACCACACCACACCACGCCCCGCCACGCCTCTCTCTCATCTCACCCTGCCAGCAGTTCAAAAGTGAAACAACTGCGAGTTAAGTAGATAGGGATCCAGCTGGCAGCTCGGGCAATAAAGTTAGGTGTTCAATTGAGCGGTTGGCTAAGTGCGTAGAACCAATTGGAACTGGTGCGATGAAAGTCGCTTCTCAGCAAATTGCCCCAGACTTAAAGGCGTAAAGTCAAAAGTAGAACGTGAATTAAACAGGACATTTAGTTAGTATAAAGTGTTATAATTGTTGGTGTATTTTAATTAAAAATTTACTTTTATATAAATGTGA